TACAAACGATGCATTTGTTGCATCCAGTGGGGACATAATTACTGATTATAATGACTTATACTGTCTTTTTACGCATTGCGTATCGTGCCATGTAAACCTAAAACCATGTCTGCATTTCTGATCGGAGAAACAACAAGCGCTACTCTACACTGCTCAAAACTCACGTTTGAATCATCATTGGCAAATTATTTAAATATAAAAAAAACGTACTTACAGGCTGCGAGTCAGAAGTGCCAGACTGTCCTTGCAAAGTTGGAACTGCTCAACTTTATAGAAACAGCCTTTGTGTCACAGACGCATTCGGCTACTGGTTCAGGAAACAGTCCTCATCCTCCATAAAATGCGCAGCACACATCTGAATATTTGGGTTGAACTGTTCTGGAACAGTGTTGTAAATACAACTTAACCACTGATTTCTAGTCGTGTCCTTTTTTTGGAAGGCCAAACAAAGTAGTTTCGCTTTCACAACGAAACACACAGCGACTCCACAACATTGCAGCGGAGGCAACAGCGAGAATAAAAGTTACACCTTTTCTTTGCGTGAACAATTGACGGCGTTATGCAAATGTGGGGGCGTGTTAGAACGAGCCGTTGTAGGTAGGTGTGGCTGACTCTTAACTTTTATAAAGAATATCTCTTTGGATTTGAGACTTTAGTCTTTGCAACTTTACAGATCTTCTTTATGCACCAAGAGCTTGTAACACTTGAAAAAATGAAATCGCATCATATGACCCCTTTAAGGTTCACTCTTGTTTGCGGAGGCCACAAAATTAACAACACTGGAACATGAAGAGAAATATTCGACAATACAATAATAAACGTAGAGTCCTTTTTTGGTGTAAACAACATCTAAATTGTAACAAACTAAAGGAAGAGCATTTCTAATTTGTTGGTTAAGGAATGCTCGGTTTTGTCCAGGAAGGAAAAACATAATGATCCCGCACTCTCTCGGATGCACAGATCATCACTTTATCTCTGCACTTCTTTATCTTGAAGTTCCATCAAGCTGAAAGAGGAAAGGTGTCTGTGCAATCAGTTTACAAAGTCTGCCAGCCGCCCCACCTGGGGAGTTTGTGTATGAAGTTTGTTGTCCGCTCCACCCCTCCCCGAGCTCCTGCGCCTCACCACATTTATCCATTACAGCCGGCAAAAATCTAATTAGCCCGTGCTTCTTTCCCAAGTCGGACTTCACAGTTTTGCAAGCTTAGCAGTGACAGCTGATTTCATTAGGTTTGATTGTCCTTGCCGAGATCCCACTCGTCGGGCTAAAAGCTTTTTGAGCTTTCTCAGGTTCCACCCCTGTGTTGGGCCATTACGATGACCCGTGCCTTTTCTGATTAATCAAGACAAGTGGCGCTAACAGAAAACTGCTGAACACAAAAGGAGGTGACATCATTTTACAAGCCGATTAAGAGAAGAAGTGTGGAGTGGTGAGAGAGAGAGGGAGGTGAGGTGAAAATGTAATTAAGATGGAACAAACCAAACTCGAAACGTTGCAGTCACACTCAATGGGCATCATTCCGGAGAATTCCACACACGTTCCAACAATCAACGCTGAAAGTGTGCAGATTCCGTATGGGTTTATGTAAACACACTGTACTTCAGTACACCATTCATATTAATTGGTATCATGCGGTGATATAACTAGGGCGAATAATCAAGGAAGAGGAAGTGGTTTTTGCGTTTCGAGAATAAATGAGACCGGGCTTATAGGGAGAGGAGCTGTGTGTTGTGGAGAAGGTCCCAGAGGAGGACCACCCTCACCTCCCCATCCATCTATTTACAGTATCCTACATGTGGGGCAAAAGAGCCAAAGATGCATAGGGTTGACCTCATCGCTGGCAACAGTTACTCATTTACTGAAATACCGATGTAAGGAGAAGAATGTGATGTTTAAACGGTTGCCTTTGAATAGAACTTAAATATTTGGATGTTTTCTGTTAGGGCTACAAATTGATGAAGAAAATGTGAATATGAAAATGAAAACAGTCAACAGTAAATATTTTATTGATAGTCTCCTTATATACAATATAATTTATATTTTATAATGCACATTTATTTATTCATTAATTTGCATAAAATACTACGAATTTACTTTTTGGTGAATTTTACAGCAAATTGGGAAGCACATCTTGTCCAAATGTGGAATAATATTTATTCAATGCTGGAATTCAATTTTGCATTTTATCTTGAATTGAATGAATAATGGAAAAAACACTACATTTTAAAATTGCCCCGTGTATTTTTAATACAATATTTTTAAGTATAAATATTTTTTTTTATAATGAAAACTATAAAGTCTAAAAGAATGAGCAAAATGTTGCTAATCATTTAACTTGCCCAGTGAAACAAGATTTATTTTTTTTAAATAATATTTTTACAACTAATTTGAGGTACTAAAATTCAAAAGAATGAGCAAAATCCTTTTTTTTTTATTTTTTTTTTTTAGATAGTTTAGCATGTGACATGGTGAAAACACTGATATTCACAAAAGATAAATTAATCTTCATGATGCAATGAATAGTGGTATTTTGGCCCACCTCCTGCTTAACAAAACAGATAGTGTCCTGCTCTGTCAGGTCTCTGTATTAAGTGTATGAACTATTTGCTCTGGTGTCTCCTGGGTGCAGCTTCATCATGGCAGATTTAGTCTGCTGTCAGCCATAGGACTCAATTAATTGCACTTCAGGATATTACTCGTAACTCATATTTCAGAGCAAGTGAAAAACCAGCCTTCTATTTATCTCCTCTAGTGTCTCTCCCTCCTTTCAGCACCAGCAGGCCTCACAGCATTGATGCATTTCAAATGGTTCATGTATAATAGGAATGCCACATGTAATGTGTTATACGGCACATTTAATATTCATGCTCTGTGTACGTTTATAAACAAAAAAGGGTTGAATGAGAAAGCAATTCAGTTCACAGTTTATCCCAAAAAAAAATCAGGCACTTTCCACAAGAGAAGAGGGAGAGTATAAAAATAAGTTCTGGAATTCTTAATAGTCAAACGTTTCTGAAGGTTAAGCACAGTTTTTTTTTTTATGGATTGTTTGCTGAAAATCCCTGGAAGTTAAAATAATGTTATATTAGCCGTTTTATGGTTGCAACCATCTTGGCAAAATTAGGAACATGTCTGAATATGGTATTAAAACTAATCTCTATTTGTGTGATTGTATTATTTATAGTAATAAATAAAAATGAAAAGAATAATTTTATAATGTTAATTTGTTTATTTTAAAAAGACAGCAAAATGGATAATAGGGTTACAGATGTAGTATTAAGCTATAAATAAATTAGAAATGTAATTTTAAAACACATACAAATATAAATTAAGCTGTCATACGGCACATTTAATATTCATGCTCTGTGTATGTTTATAAACAAAAAAGGGTTGAATGAGAAAGCAATTCAGTTCACAGTTTATCCCCAAAAAAAATCAGGCACTTTCCACAAGAGAAGAGGGAGAGTATAAAAATAAGTTCTGGAATTCTTAATAGTCAAACGTTTCTGAAGGTTAAGCACAGTTTTTTTTTTTATGGATCGTTTGCTGAAAATCCCTGGAAGTTAAAATAATGTTATATTAGCCGTTTTATGGTTGCAACCATCTTGGCAAAATTAGGAACATGTCTGAATATGGTATTAAAACTAATCTCTATTTGTGTGATTGTATTATTTATAGTAATAAATAAAAATGAAAAGAATAATTTTATAATGTTAATTTGTTTATTTTAAAAAGACAGCAAAATGGATAATAGGGTTACAGATGTAGTATTAAGCTATAAATAAATTAGAAATGTAATTTTAAAATACATACAAATATAAATTAAGCTGTCACTCAGTAAAGCATAGGTAGTTTTAAATCAAATTGTTAATTTGGATTATTTGATAAAGCTGTTGATAATTTTTCTGGATAAGTAGATGTTTTAGATGTCACTGACAAATGCAGTGAATGCAACAATTTGTGTGGAATTCTGAACAGGGTGTAGAAAATGATCACTTCCGGTGCGATGATGTTTTTTTTTATTATTATCGAGGTGAGATCATGCACTAACAAATCGAGAGAAAGATAATTTTTTGGCAATTAAATGTAGTAATTTTTATAATTTGATCATTTTTAACATTAAAAAAATAAATCAAATTAAAATGTATTAACAAATTATATCAAAATTGTTGAAAAGAGTCAAGAATGCCCAATTTGTGGAAAGTATCACCAATCAACATGTAACTTTTTTACATATCTGGAATGTCATTTTTCCATGTCCAGTTTCAAAGGGAACAGATTTGGGCTGACCTCTAGATTATACGCAGGGATGTGAACACACTATTTAATGCCCTGCACTCCCACTCTTACGCTCTCGCCGTCCATGTACCTTGAGTGCCATTTTGTTTACATCCTGCGTACATATTAGCTCATCTGTTGGAGCTTGCAGAAACGAGCATGTTGAACATGTAAAAGCACTCGAGTCCTAATGAACTGCTTCCTGTGTGACGGTGCGCTGCGAGCTCTCTTATTAACATGCATCTGCAGCACTCCTGCCCCTCAACCACCAGCTGTTTCTCTCTGATCTAGTGCTTTACGGCCACTGCAAACATGATTCATTCTGAAAACTTGCTAAGTTTTGATGTTGGAAGACACTGATGTCTTCGTTTCTGTTCCTTTTTTTAATTATGATTCCTGAATTATGAAGTCTTTTGAGGGGGGTGGTGGAATATTAATTTGAACACTGTTGTGCTAAAATTTAATGTTTTCAAAACTATATTATGCCTCATTTTCATATTATAAAATGGACAGTTACAGCTTTAAAATCTGGATAATATTTTATTTATATATAATTACATGTAATCTGGTTATGTAATCCTATTCCAAAAATGTAGTACTTGTAATAAGATTATATTATGTTTTCAAATGCTCAGTCAGATTACAGTTACTCGTTTATGGATTACATGATTACAAATTATAAAATTCACTGGCTCGCTCACATTTTATCTTCTCATTTCAGAAAACAGACCCTACTCCAAACCTCCCATCATGTACTGAAGCCTCTGGCATCTTTAGTCCCACGACAGACATCTCACACCACAGATGGACGGGACAACGTGGAGAGGGGTTTGTGGGGCTTTTTCCTGGAGGGAAAGTAGTGCGGGTGCTGAAGACCAGGCACCTGAAACCCATGTACAGGACTTGAGTGTGTGTGTATGTATGTATGTATGTGTATGTGTGTGGAGGTGCAGTGCGTTTGCGGTCCTCATGAGACGCGTGTGTGTGTGTGTGTGTGTGTGTGTGTGTGGAGCACTGCTTGTTGGAGACCTTTCAACACCGCATGCACCGACTTGTAAAAAAAATGTGTTTCTCTCTTGTTTTGACTACTTCTACATCCCACACTTTTTTAAGATTAAAATATCATTACCTGATGAATTACCCTTCTTTATGTGAAGCACACAGCATCACCCTAATCTAAACCCATCTCTAGTTTATTATTATTATTGAGTGTTATCTGCTGATCCCCCATGATTCTGTGCACCAGTGATTCTAAACAGCACAACCGTCTTGACGAGTCTGTAGAGAACTTTATCCACAGCACCTCTACATGAAGCGACAAAAGAGACAAATATTATGTGGACAGACTCCAAATAAGACATGTGCTTCTTTAATAAACATTGTCTATATTTGTTGTTTTGCCTTTTGAGAAAGGGATTCTATATCAACATTTCCTTTTTTCTAATTTGTTGTATTTTTTTTAGAAAGTGTAGAAATATTTTCCTCATGTTGTCGTTTCCCTTCCCCTATGTTTATTATTCTGGTGTTTATTTTATTATCTGGTTTGTTGTTTTCCATTGTATTTTAATCAGCATTTCAAACAGATGCTCAAGTGATCTTGAAACAAACGTTCTTTGTACGTCTTTGCTGTCTTACTTTGCCCCGCGACAATGTTTTCTTTATTGCTCCTTAACTTAAAAAGTGAAAAAAGGTGTTAATTTGATGTTGCTATAAACACAGTATTACAGTACTCCCCCTTCTGTTTTTACCTGTTTATAAAGACTTGTAAAAATGCATTAGCGTTTGCTATCCTGACATTGTTATTACGTGGATACATTTTTAGTGACGAGAAGTACACTTATGCACACCCAGAGCGAGCATGCTTGTAAATACAACGATGAAAAATTACACGTATCAATTGAAAATAAAACGCTGCCTCTTCAAATCTATTTTTAAACATTTCTAGCAACTCCATAGGTAATGCAATCACAAATCGGCAGCTATCAATGATGTTGAATCTTGTTTTAAAGTGGCAACAGACACTTATTACAGCCTTGCACATGCCACAACAAATAAAACACCCCTATGGACATCTTGGTAGGTTTTGTTTTATTTTTCTTTGAGTAATAAAATTAAGATGGAAACATTTGCCTGTTGCACTTCAGTTATTTTCAGAGAAGTTTCTCCCCCCCAGTTAACTGGTATTTGGCCTTTTTGAGATTAATGTATAATAACCAATTGTGTCAGTTCCAAAATCTGACAGCTACAGCATAGAGTTATTTATTATTATAATTTTTTTTATTATTATACACGCATACACTACCATTCAAAAGTATGCATTTGTTACTTTCTTTTTTTTTTTATCAAAACAGTAAGATTGCGAAACATTATTACAGTTTAAAATAAGGGCTTTCAATTTGAATATATTTTTAAATGTATGAATTTTCAGCACCATTACTCCAGGCTTCAGTGTCACATGATCATACAGAAATCATTCTAATATGGTGATTTGCTGCAAGAGAAATATTTCTGATTATTAATGTTGAAAACGGTTGTGCTGCTTAATATTTTTGTAGAAACCATGCTCTTTTTTTTCCTTCATGATTCTTTAATAAATAGTACCTGTATGTTCATAATTTTTGTACCACTGTAAAAGTCTTTAATGTCACTTTTGATCAGTTTAATTCATTTATAAATTAATTACTCTCCCAAAATTTTTTAAATGAATATTTAAATATATATACACGCATAAAAGTAACTGTTGTGCAAATTAGTGTAATGTATCTTATGTGCTTTCTTTAAATCAGGGCTCGACATTAACGCTTGTCCGGGACAAGTAGATTTTGTGAAGGGGCAAGTGAAAGATAATTTTACTTTTATTTTACCAGACAAGTAACATGATTAAAACATAAATAACAAACAATAACTAGGGCAGTACCTAAACTGAGAATGATTCTGATTTTATTACTTTCAGTGTAAACGGTGACTGCGCAACAGCACACAAAAAGAAACAATCATACTGCGGTAGGAAAAAAAGGATAAATATTCTATGTAATATATGATATAGGTAAGCAACATCACACAACCAAGAGTGATGTTTTCCCAACTATCAGCGCGATTGCAAATGTGACATTGATTTTATACAACAATAAACAAGTAGTTAATATTAACGGACTTGCATTTTAGACACGTTATTGACTGTTTTTACTCTATTTCTCGAACGAAAAAACAAAGCCACAGCAGAACAGTCGCGCATCTCCGAGCAACACACAACAGTGTTTCGTTACTGAATGATTCAGCATTTTTGAACAAATCGAGTGAGTCAACGATTCAGTGAGCCATTCATAAAGACAGTCACTTGCTTCATTTATTGAATGAATCAGCCGTTTGAACGAATCGGTTGAATCAATGACTCGACCACTCATTAAGACAGTGACTTGCCGCCACCCACTGGTGGTTTGGTTTCATATTTAAAAGTATCAGTGCATTTTTCCATCATTTCATATTTGTATGTTAAAAAAGTAAAACGTTAAACTTATAACATTTATGCATTTGCAATTTTACTGTGGAAACCTCTTATCAAACCAACCGTCTGAGTAAAGATGGAAGTGGATACTGATTTCATTTGAATGTTAACAACCATGCAGAGTCTTATTATTCTAACTGAATGTATTGATAAAAAATTAAGAATTTGACAAATGACGATGTACATTTAATACGGTAAAATATTGCCCTTCATAAAGTTAAAAAGTGTTCTAGAAATATCACAAATGCGGATTAAAGTAAGACCTGATAGAGCACTGATGAGACTATTGCTTCAGAATAAATTACATTTACACCAAAAAAAAATAATGTCACATTCACAAAATCACAAAATTGTTTTGGTTGACCAGTAGTCTGAATGGTATGAATGCAGGTTCTTTATGACTTTCTTAATATATTCACCTCATTGATGATGTAGAGCTCACGCATCACAGCCTGAAACTCATATCACCCCAGCAATTTATAAAAACCCATGCCTCTGAAGCTCCACTGTCCCGGAGGTGTTCAACACGAAGCAGATATGAGCGAGCACCTCTCACCTGCAGCTGCCAAAGGAACTGACCTAATTATTCACGTACCGTGCCCAAGCCATTGAGTAGCCGACTACATTTCCCACTGCGACCGCTGCGCTTCATCTGTTGTCTGTAGCTTCTTGGACTTCTGGGAGTTGTGGGAAGAGAAGCAGGCCTCCTGATAGAGCCCTGAGAGCCGCTGCCTGAATTGGCCCTACGAACAAAAAAAAAAAAAAGGTGGTGGTCCGTTTTTGCACTTCAATTAAAGAGGAGTCGTTTGATCTACTCTTGATTAGCCCCTCTCCTCCCTAACTGGCTTTATGTAAAGTAATCAAAGTACTATGTTTTTAAGGGTGGGATTGGGGTGAGTGTTTGAAACACAATTGTTGTGGTGGACTATTTAATCAGTGGAAATAAGAAAAACAGAATCATTTGCATAGGTTCCATTAAAAACATTGAATCTGATTAAGGCTAACAAGAAGGTCGGGATTAAAGGAGTGGACGAATATGGAGAGTCATACAAGCTTGACATCAGAGCCAGGTGTGCGTCTCTTCTCTCTATAGCCTATAATCCATAAGAGCAGATCCACGTAAATTAAAAACGTTCATGGAGATGAAATAGGACCTTGGCCGGAATCAATAACTCTCGACCTCTTCAGAACGGAGCTGTTTGGACAGATTATGCCACTGTGACCATGAACGATTGGCTGTCATGAAAACATTGCAACTTTGCAGGATGTCTTCATCTTAGAGAGAAGTGCCAACATATACTTTAATTATATACATTATATGAACTGCATTTGAGTATTTTAACATCAATATTGTATGTTAAAATGAATAGGTCAAAGTGTATATCATAGGTGCTTTTCATCATAATTACCAGTTTTTCATAATTAAAAAAAATAAAAAATTCTGTAGTTTTGGCAGTTCACTTTAATAGTGATACCTTTCTAAATTATTATAAATATTACATTGTCTCAGTTAATTTAAGGTAATAAAAAAGCTATTTATAATTACACATTTTTTTTACATTTTTGTTTATTATTTGTGAACATGTATTAAACAAATGTAACATCCCATGTTCTGTTTGTTGAAATGACTTCAATATCTGTAAAATTTCAAAATATATTTTAATATACAAATCTAATTATATAATTATTATAGTAAAACAAAAAAAATCAATATATTAAAGTTACATTTTATATATTACAAAATATACATGATAAAAACAATGCTATTAACAGGCTGTATTTCTGTAGTAGAAAACAGCCGATCAAATTCAGTGAAATTTTACATCTTAATGGTCTTCCTGTTTGTTGCCTTTCTTTTTGTTCCAAAATAGTGATTTCTTTTTACAAGAAAGCCTACGCTTGGCATCCCACACCTTGAGTGTACATGCACAATGTTACAAGCAAAAACCCTCTCCTACACACACACACTCGACTAACACACCTTAGCAGTACAAGACTAAATAAAACCCAAACACAGGTTGTTGTTGGCTGTTAAAGTTGGAGCTTGTAATTGTAAAACGAATGAATAGATGAGTAAAGGCAGTTGAAAGGGAGTTAAAGAGCTCACTAAAGTGGCTGTCTAGTGGGGAATCATGGGATATTACCTCCAGGCTGCATTAAAGACAATTCAAACAGCAGTAAATTTCATTGTTAAAAGATAATAGTGAATAATAGGTGTCTGGATGTGTGTTTGTGAAGACAAAGCAGTGTCTAGGAATGTTTTACTCTAGTTTCCCCTCCTCTCTCGCTGAA